CTCTCACCGGCCTTCCTTGGCAGCGGCAGGACAGAGCACTCCCGAGGGCGGCGTGCCTCCTCTGCCTGCTAGTGAGGATGCCGCAGCCTGACAGCCGCGGGCAGAGGCTTGGCACAGTCTGCTTCCGAGGCGGCGGCAGCCAAGGTCACGGGCACAGAGCTGTCTGACTTCTCTTCCTCCAGCCAGTGCCTGGTGCAAGGTAGGGCAGGAGGGCACCCACCTAGCAGGAGCACAGAGCCCCTCCTCTGGCCCATGGGCCTCCCGGGGGCCTAGAAGAGCAGCCCCCAGAGGGGCACAGAGGACACTTGCTCCTCTGCCTCTCATAAGCACAGGTGGCCATGGGGGCCATGATTTATTTGGCTCATTTGGTGCTTTTTAGAAATGTGAAGCAACATTTTAAAATCATGAGAGTTTACATAAAAGTTCTGATGTCTGGATTCTCTTGACAGTGAGAAGATTGCTGCCCCGGGCCCACATTCCCACCAGGTTATGGTCTGGGGAGCCAAGGACAGGGCTGCCCCTGTGGGCGAAGCCTCTGGTGGGCCCTATGCCCACAGTGAGGCTAGGGCTGGATGCCATGTGCCGCCACACTCACACTACTGTTTTCCTTTTAGTAGAGACACATTCTCTGTGCCGATTGTTTATGTCAAAAGGAGGGAAATGAAAGTTGGGCCAAGCACTCTCCCTCTGCCACCATCCCCACTGGCATCGCCTACTGCATCCTGCCAGCCTCTGAGTTCGTGGCTCTTGTCCTTGGATGGCAGGACTTTCTGCTAATGGCACCATGTGCCTAGCAGGGAGGCCACATGCCCAGCTTGCAATCCAGGGATCTTTCCCACCCCATGGGGATCTTCAGCCTCCTGCACACAGCCAGGCCCTTAGTGCCAGCAGCAAGGCCAGCTTTGTGCATATGGTCTTGGGGCCAGCCTAGCCACGCCATGGCCCAAGCTCTCCAGGCCCTGCAGTCTGGCTGAGATTGGACCAGAATCTGGCAGAGGTAGAGGGAAGAGGCCCTGGTGAGTTGCACCTGAGCACTATCCCCAGAGAAGGAGTGAAGGGTGCCCCCTCGTCCAAAGATGTGCATCCTGTTTGCTGTACAGTCAGCCACGTACAGGAGGGCTGGTTCACTTCCTACATAAGCTGAATGGTGGTCCTTCCTGGGACCTGTGAACGTTACCTTATATGACAAAAAAAGACTTTGCAGATGTGATTAGATCACAGATCTTGAGACAGGGGTGCAGAGGGGGAGATCATTCTAGATTATCTGGATGGGCGCTAAATGCAATCACATGCATTCTTACTTGTAAGAGGGAGGCTGAGGAGATTCACACACATACACACACAGAAGACCAGGAGGCAGAGACTGGAGTGATGTGGCCACAAGCCAAGGGATCCCAGCAGCCACAAGAAGCTGAGAAAGACCAGGAACAGATTCCTCCCTCTCCCCACAAGCTCCAGGAAGGCCCTGCCAACACTTGACTTTTGCCTGATGATACTCGTTTCAGACTTCTGCCTTCCAGAACTACCACAGAATCACACACCGCAGCTGCTTTCAGTGACCCGGTTGGTGGTAGTATGTCTTGGTAGCCAGAGAGTAGGAGGGAGTGACATGCCAAGTCACCGGCACAAGTACTAGCCCGGCCTAGACTGGGCCTCCTCTTCCCACACCTGCCAGCCCTGGCTCCCCCTCAACAACCCCAGTCAGGGCTGACAGATGGCAGCCACGGCAGGGCTCAGGCACAGGCCCAGAACTCCTAGCGGGACCCTATCCCAAGTGCAAACACACACCAGGGAGGCTGATGTTACACTGTCCCCCAGCATCGTGTCACCCTGGGCACAGGGCTGGCTCAGGGTGGCGAGAGACAATGGTGCACCTGGGAGAGGCCTGGCATGGAGGAGGCCTGGAAATGCCTCAAACAACTGTCCCCAAAAGGCCCCCCAACCCCCTGGCCTCAGCTCTGCCCTCCTGCCCCTGCCAGGCTCCTGGGCCCAGCAGAGTGGAGCAGAGATACTTCTGCAACATCTGCAGCACCACAAGGAAAGCAAAGGTCCCCCCTCTTCTCCCTTAACCCTTCTAATACCCTCCCCTGGGGCCCAAAGGCAGCAATGTTATATGATAGGCTGCTCTGTGCACACGTCAGACCCTGGCCTGAGTCTATGAAGACACATAAACACCTTCATTTCCCATTCACTTCCCCAAGGCAGTCTGCAACCCAGCAACCAACCTCAGAGTTAGTGATGACAATTCCCTGAGGCTGGGTGAACCCCTAAGATCACTCCAGGAAGACTGTTGGTTGCTTAGGAAAAGCAGGACAATGAGTCTCAGGACCCTAGAGGGGCTGTGTGGGACACCCTCACCCACCCCCACCAGACACCCTTACCCCTAATCCCACACCCAGCCAGACACCTACCTCCCAGACTGGAAGGCCCAGAACAGATGTTTCCCCTTCCCCAGAGGACCCATCCTATCCACTGCTCATCATGGTGGTTTCAAACCCGCTTCCAGGAGTTGCCCTGGGAGAGGGAGGAGGGAGCTTCAAGTCCATGTGTCCTGTTTGCTTCAGCCAGAGCCACGCTGATATATCAGGGCCCCCATTAGAGTTCACTAGAAAAAAGGGTCCCCTGGCTTATACACACACACACACACACATCCTAGGGTTCTGGGCCCAGCACAGAGCAAACATGCGCAGCCAAGGACACTGTTTTTATATATCTCCTGGCTGCACCCTGGGCCCTGACAAGGCTCAGGCCAATGGAAAGCTGGACCGTCTGAGGTCACTGTGGGCCCTCAGCCCAATCCCAGCATAACATGCATTTGGACCCCCTCCAACCAGCCAGTGGGCCTCAGCCCTGGGCTGAATGGGAAGGGATATCCAAGGAGAAATGTATTGTCTGTGGACCAAATCACCCACACAGGGTCATGGTGACCGTGGGCACGGACATCACAAAAAAGGGACTTGGCCCCAGACTCTGGGCCTGTGGACTGGCCCTACCATCCAGAGCCCACAGCCCAGGCCTGAGGCCTAGAGTCCAGCCTGAAATATCTTCACCCCTCACCATCTTCCAGTACAACTTCAGCTTCCAATCTGTGTGGCATCTACTTTTCTTTTTTTTGGAAAAGAACGCAGCTGTGGAACGCAGCTGTGGAACACAGCATGGGGCTTGAACCCTGAGATTGAGACCTGAGATCGAGTCAGATGCTTAACGCACTGAGCCACTCAGGCACCCCTCCCTAGCATCTTCTGAGGTCACTGGTTTCTGAGTTTATTCTGAGTTTGAAATTCCTTTCCTACAGGCTGAGTTCCAAGCTCTCCCCAACAGTAGGTAGATGGTTGGGGGAGGGAAGGACAGATTTAATTGAAGGTACCAAAGCCCAGAAAATAAGGCGAGGCCAATACTGCTGCGGGGGCGGGGGGTGGGGAGACAGGCAACACATGGAATCTGGGATCAGAGACAGCCTCCGGCACCTGGCAGCCCCTCTTGGCAGACATCACCTCACCTAGCCTGAGCAGGACCCAGAAGCACCAAGCCCAAAACCCATGGTGGCAAGCCCTCAGCTCTCTGAGATCCAGGCATTTCTAATCCCACGGGACAGAGGAGGCAGAAGCCAGAGGCCCAAATTTGTCCCAGGGCAGCTGGCCAGTGTGGACCCTGACCCCTGGTCTGGGGTACTTCCACTGTCCATTTTCACTCCTACTTTCACCTTATGGGGTGACTCTCCATCCCTCCCCCTGCGGAGAACCCAAGGATAGGAAGGCTGAGGCTGGGGAAGGCCTGGCAGACAGGCCATTCATCACTTGGGGAAAAGGATCCACCCAAAGTATTGATCGGCTCCAGACAGTGTCGGGCTTCCTGATGGAAGGACTCCTGGGTCAAGGTATCTGACACCACTCCTTTAAATTAGAATGGTACCTAATTTAATGCAGGACAGCCTGCACCCAATTTATCTGTCAAGCTGGGAAGTCAGAACTGAGAGACCTAAAATAAATGAGCCAAGGCTGTTTGGGGTGACCGGAGCATCTTGGCAAATCAAAGCATGACTGGGCTGACCCAGGAGGGCCTCGGGGGTTCTCAATCTACATGCAGATGAGCCTGACTCAAGACCCAGGCCTCCCTGCTGCTGCCACCTGCCCTGACATCTGCTGCCAGGGGTCCTGGACCACAGTCTGAGGGCTAACCCAGCCCTTAACAACCAAGCACAGGCAAGGCAGCTTTATCTGGTCCCTGAGGCTCTGAGGACTACGAGGCCTGCTAGGATCATGGTCTGCCCCCTACCTGGCCTCACTGCAACCTGTTTTCCAGCATCCCAAGAGTGCGGGGGGGAGTTTGGGCTTCAGGTTGGCCAGGCCTTCTTGAATGGTCTGAGAGGCTGCAGCCAGGGGCTGTCACCAGACCCATTCAGAAGTTCCTTCTGTGGTCCTGGGCCTAGGGGGCACTTTAGTTCTAAGTTGAAAAAAAAAAAAAAAACCCATTTGAGTCTGCACAGGCCACGAAGGCCGTGGGTACACCTCTGGGGTCTCTATCATACATTTCCCTCCCCATCCCCACTTTGACATGTACATGTCTTCCAGAGGGAAGCAGGATCCAAACAGGACCAAGGGAGTGCTCATGACCTTCCTCTATGAGTAGCCAGGGAAGGGCAGTCAGTTGTCATTGACGGGAAGGCAGACTGCATTGAGGAAGAGGTTGGCTGCCTGAGGTCAGCAGACATCTTCTTTAGGGGCACATGCTCAGACACATGGGCACAAGACTCAGGCCCAGGGGTAGGTCTACTCTGTGCATCTCCTGCTCCCTGCCACTCATTGGCCCTCACACAGCAGAACGTAGGCCACTGGGCAGCCTTCATTACCAGCTATGGAGGTCCCAGACCTGCTGTCATGTGACTCCCACCCCAGCACTGCAGCACACCCACTGGGGCAAGCGGTCAGTGACAGCAGGGCTCCAGCTGGGCCTGGGCAACCCCAGGGCAGGGAACAACCAGGGTCACCAAGCAGCCTTACCTGTGTCCAGGGCCTGTGGCCCCCCCGGAGGAGGGGGCCTAGTGGTGGGGGGCCGGCGATATACCACATGCACACGGCCGCGCTCAGCTTCCTCGGCTGCCAGCCCCTTCTCCAGGGGTTCAATGAAGAATTCCTCCTCCTCCATACGGATCAGGCCAGCCTGCAGGACAAAAATGAGATGGTTCAGATTCCTAGAGCAGAGCAGACGGAGGATGGGCAACAGCAAGTAGAGTCACGAGGGGACCTCCCGCCAGACCAACAGGACCAGGAGGACCCTGCCCAGCATCCCAGCTAGGTGCCAGGCTTGAACCCTGGGCCATGGAGGGCACAGACAGGTGACTCCAGAGGCCCCATCTGCCCAGAGCCTCCCCTTCTAGTCATTGAGGCCAGAGCCCTGGATGGTGGTGAGCCCTATTGGGGGAAGAAGCTCTGTCTGGGTCATCCCTAACCCCACCCCACCCCCCCAAAGACACAAACACAGGACAAAGGCCAAGGCTGGGCAATAGCAAGTAGGGTCCCAGAGGGACCTCCCACCAGACCCCAGTCAACTGAGGACTAAATCTGCCATGGATATGTTCAGTTGGACCCAAACAGTATTTTCAAAGTTCTGAACCCAACACTCAAAATGATGAGATTTCATGCTTCAAAACTAGAATTCCAGTGTCCCTCATAAAACAGGTGGACCACAGGGCATACTGCCTGGCAGTGGGCACCATGGATGGAGCAGGCACCCCTGCAGCTGACCACAGTCCCCATGCTCCCACCATCTATCCATTCATCCACATCGGTCACTGGTCCAGACTCTACAGCAACTTAACTGCTGTCTCCCCCAAGACGGGGCCATACCCCTCCCATGCGGAAAAGCCTTCCCTGGACCCCTGTCCCCACCAGGATTCAGGCCGTTCCATAATCTGGCAGCCAAGACTCTCAGCCTGCCACTGCCCTGCCAGTCCCTGGCTCACACACCTCTCACGTCAGTGTCTGGGACAATCCCATCCTTCCAAGACAGCACTCACAGCTGGCCCGCCTCACCTTGGCCCTCTGGTGAACTCCCATTCTCCCTTCAGCACCTCGTTCAGATGCTCCAGCTGCCACCCCGCCCTCAAGTGCAGGCACATGGCCCTACCCTCCCTTTGGCCATCCAGCCATCACCACCCCATCTAGCTTCCATGCTTTTGATTTTCCATCTGTTAGCTATAAATCAGTAGTCTCAGAGTGGGGGCCCCCTGCTGTGTTAACCTGCAGATGTATTTCCTTTAGATCACACATTTATGACCCACCCAGGGGGTTGAGGGTTTTTTTTAAAACCACTTTACTGAAATATGATTGGCATGTAAAAAGATGTGCGTAGTTAATGTATACAACTCCATGAGTTTGGGAATGAGTATACACTCATTTCCACCATCACTACCAAGGGCATAAACATATCCATTATCTCTCAAAGTATCCTCTTACCCTTTTATCATCATTTTTTCATGATTAGAACATTTTTTTATAATATTGACCCTCCTAGTAAATTTTAAGTACATGATAGAATATTGTTAGCTATAGGCATGGTACTGTATAATAGATCTCCAAAACTTATGTTGCATAACTGAAATTTTGTACCCTTTGACCATCACCTCTCATTTGCCCCTTCCCCCAGTCCCTGGCAATGACCATTCTACTCTCAACCACTACTGTACTCTCCCCTGCTATGAGTCTGAGTATTTTATTTTAAAGATTTATTTATTTATTTATTTTAGAGAGACAGAGAAAGAGGGAGAGTATGCATGAGGGTATGGGCAGAGGGAGAGAGAGAGAGAGAATCCCAAGCAGACCGCCCATTGAGCATGGAACCCCACATGGGGCTTGATACCACAACCCTGAGATCATGACGTGAGCCAAAATTAAGAGTCACACAGACGCCTAACCAACTGAGCCACCCAGGCACCCTGAGTTTGAGTCTTTCAGAGTCTACATTTGTCTTTCTGTGGCTAGCTTATCTCACTTACCATAATACCTTCCAGTTTTCAACCATGTTGTTTCAAATGGCAAGAACTCCTTCTTTATAAAGGCTGAATAACATTCCATTGTATATGCAAACCACATTTATCAATTTGTCATCTACAGATGGACATTTAGGTTGCTTTCATGCCTACTGTGAAAATGCTATAATGAATATGGAAGTACAGATATATCTCCAATATTTTGTTTGCACTTCCTTTGGATATATAGGCAGAAGTGGGATGACTGGATCATATGGTGGTGCTATTTTTAATTTTTTGAGGACCCTCCTTAGTGACATATGTGACATAGTGACAGAACCAATTCACATTCCCACCAACAGTGCACGAGGGTTCCCTATCTCCACACCCTTACTGATACTTATTTTATACTTTTCATAATCATTCCAACAAATGTGAAGATGATATGGTTGGTTTTGATTTGCATTTCCCTGATGTTGAACACCTTTTACGTACTGATTGATCATCTGTATGTCTTCTTTGAAAAAATGTCTAATTCAGGCCCTTGGCCCCTTTGTAATCAGATTATGCTTTGAGTTGCATAACTTCTTTGTGTATTTTGAATATTAACCTCTTATCTGATAAATGGTTTGCAATATTTTCTTCCATTCCATAGGAAGCTTTTTCATTTTGTTGATGGTTTCCTTTGCTGTGCAAAAGCTTTTTAGTTTGATGTAGTCCCAACTTAACTGATTTTTGCTTTGGTGGCTTATGCTGTTGGTGTCATATCCAAAAAATCATTGTCGAGACCAATGTCAAGGAGTTTTTTGCCTGTATTTTCTTCTAGTTTTAAGGTTTTTGGCCTTAAACTGAAGTCTTTAATCAATTTAGGGTTAACTCTTGTGACTAGTGTAGGACAGGGGTCTTGTTTCACTCTTTGGCAAGTGACTACCAACATCATTTACTGAAGAGATTCTTTTCCCATCTAGTATTCCCAGATTATGTTTGACCATCCCATCGGTCAAACATAATCTGACAGTATGTGTGGGACTACTTCTAGGCTCTCAATTGTATTCTATTAGTCGATGTGTCAATAACATACTGTTTTGATTACTGTAGCTTTGAGGTCTAGTTTGAAATTAAAAAAAAAATGATGCCTCCACTTTTGTTCTTAAGATTGCTTTGACTATTTGGGGTCTTTGGTGGTTCACAAATTTTAGGGTTGGTTTTCTACCAGAATTTGGAATTTTGATAGGGTTCCATTGAATCTATAGATGGTTCTGGGTAGTAGGACATTTTAACATTATTAACTCTTCTGATCCATGAACACAGTATATCTTTCTTTTTTTTCCCATTTTATTTTTATTTTTTTTACTTTTTTTTAATTGGAGTTCAATTTGCCAACATATAGCATAACACCCAGTGCTCATCCCGCCAAGTGTCCTCCTCAGTGCCCATCACCCAGTCACCCCAACCCCCCGCCCACCTCCCTTTCCACTACCCCTTGTTCACTTCCCAGAGTTAGGTGTCTCTCATGTTTTGTCACCCTCACTGATATTCTCACTCATTTTCTCTCCTTTCCGCTTTATTCCCTTTCACTAATTTTTAGACTCCCCAAATGAATGAGACCATATTATTAACTCTTCTGATCCATGAACACGGTAAATCTTTCCATTTATTTGTATCTTCTTCAATTTCTTTCATCAATATCTTTTCTTTTTTTTTTTTTTTTTTTGGTGTATAGGTCTTTCACTTCCTTGGGTAGATTTATTCCTAATTATTATAGCATTTTAGAGGCATTATAAATTAAATTGTTTTTTTCTTTTTCAGATAGCTCACTGTAAGTGTATAGAAATTTAATTGATTTTTCTATGTTGATTTTTGTATCCTGAAACTTTAATAAATTTGGTGATTAATTCTAACAGTTTTTAGTGCAGTCTTTAGGGTTTTCTATGTATATAAGATCATGTAACCAGGAAACTTGGACAATTTTATTTCTTCTTTTCCTTTTTGGGTGCCTTTTCTTTATCTTGCATGACTGTTCTAGTTAGAAGTTCTAGTACTGGGGCACCCAGATGGCTTAGTCAGAAGAGTGTGTGACTCTTGATCTTGGGGTCATAAGTTCAAACCCAAATTGGGTGTAGAAATTACTATAATGAATAAATAAATAAACTTTAAAAAAAGAAGAAGTTCTAAAAAACAAATAAATAAATAAATTTTAAAAAGAAGTTCTAGCACTAAGTTGCATAGGCGTGGTGAGAGTGGGCACCCTTGTCTTGCTCATGATCTTAGCAGGAAAATGTTTAACCTTTATAGCTGCAGGCTTGTCACATACATGACCTTTATTATGTTGAGCTACATTCCTTCTATAACCAATTTGTTGAGAGTTTTATCACGAAAGGAGGCTGAGTTTTGTCAAATGCTTCTTCTACATCTATTGAAATGATCCTAAGAATTTTATTTTTCATTCTGTTAAAGTAGTGGATCACACTTATTGATTTGCATATGTTGAAACAACCTTGCATCCCAGGGATGAATTCTACTCGATCACATACATGATCCTTTCAATGTTCTGTTGAATTCAGTTTGCTAGTATCTTGTTAGGAATTTTTGCAACTATATTCATCTGGGATATTGGCCTATAGTTTCCTTTTCTTGTAGCATCCTTATCTGGCTTTGGTATAAGGGTAATGATGGCCTCATAAAACAAGTTTGGGAATATTCCTTCCTCTTGGATTTTTAGGAATAGTTTGAGAAGGACTGGCATTAACTCTTGAAATGTTTGGTAGAATTCACCTGTGAAATCATCTATGACAAGGCTTTTCTTTGTTTGGAAATATTTTTGATTACTAGTTGAATCTGCTTACTCATTATTGAGTAAAATCTGTTTAGATTTTCTATTTCTTCCTGATTCAGTCTTGGTAGGTTGTACATTTCTACGAATTTGTCCATTTCTTCCAGGTTGTTCAATCTTGTTGTATAAATATTCTGTATAAATACATATTCATAGGTATCCTCCTATGATCCTTTAATATTTCTGCAATGTCAGTTGTAATATCTTTTAAATTTTTATTTACATCTTAATTTTATTTGGCTTTGTTGATCCTTTTTATTGTTTTTCTGTTCTCTTCTTCATTTATGTCTGCCATGATCTTTATTATCTCTTTTCTTTAGCTAACTCTAGGCTTAGTTTGTTCTTCTTTTCCAAGTTCCT